TCATTCTTATATACTTTTTTGTGCTGAATTCAAATCTGTGTTTATTTTTTTCTCTTATACGTAATTTTTGCAATGAGGCTAATTGATAATTAATGCATTTACGCACTGATATCAATTGAGATCATTGTGTAAATGCATTAATTATTTGATTAGCCTCTTTGCGAAAATTACATGTGATAGAGAAAAAATAAACACAGATCTGAATTCAGTACAAAAAAACTCTATAAGAATGATCTAAAATTATATCTGATGAAAAAACCTTGCTGGCTTGTGTTACACAAATATGATGTGAAATGTGCAGACTTTACAGTAGTTTGCTGTAATGTACCATTCATCATATTTTAAAAAGGTGATATAATTGGGAGGAGGGGGAGAGATATTTAAAATCAGCAGAAAAATAGTGCTTCTTTCATTTCTGATTGTTACAAAAAGTTTGATTTTGTTGGCTTGTGTAATCAGAATTATCCTTTATTTTAATATACAGTCACCAGTGAGATCAAATTCTACATAGAAACCTTGTGTTTCCTTGATTCATTCTCTCTCTCTCTCTCTCTCTCTCTGTTCCTCAGTTCAGTGTTGGACTATATTTTTCTGTACTTCAAATGTCCTTTTTATCCAAATTTGCTAAAATTTAGGTTCATACTTGTGGTTCATTCCTCTCTTGCCTGCTGCAACCTCATTTTTGGCCTTTTATTGGACAGCTATGCTGTCATCTTCATGACTTCTATTAAAATCATTCAGATCAAGTGAAATCTCTGCACTGACTTTCTAGCCCGAGGAATCAGTTACAGACTCCTTGGTTTTGCCACTTGCACCACTTTGCCCCATCCCATCTTTTTTATCCTTATCACCTTTGACTCTTCCAGTTCTGCTACCTCTCCTATCTAAATATCCCCTTTGCTAAAATAGCTCTGCCCATTCTGCTTTTTCCTTGAACTTCTTAAAACTCCTGCATAGCTCTGCTGGCTTTCATTTCCTTCAAGTCTTTCTTTGGTGTAGTTCACTAACCACCTTACAGTTGAAACAAAGCCTATGTCGATGCAACTGCAGCTGTGCACAGTTTCATGTTTCCTTTCTTTCCTAGTAGAAAACAAACTAAAGGAACCTAGCTTAAGAATACTAAATATCCTTAGATTTTAATGTGTATAGCTTCAGAAAATGTAGATACCCACATATTTTAAGCCCTCTGTATTTTTAAAACATTAATATCACTCTTTATAAGGAAGAGATTGGGTATGTGACCACAGTAACAGAACCTGTAATTGCATGTAACCCTTTCCATGTTCAGAAATAATATCCAGGGGAAATGCTAGAGTAGGCATCTTCTGTGATGTTCCTTGGTGTGACATCATGTGTCTCCAAGTGCTATGATGGATCAACTTTTTCCAAATATCTGAGAAAAGGGGAGCAAACTTAAGCGCACATTCAAAGTGTAGTCCCCTAAGAGCTTGGAGAAGAGAAGGTTGAGAGGGGAGGTAGAATCAGAATCATATAGTTGGAAGACACCTCGTGGGCCATCCAGTCCAACCTTCTGCCAAGAAGCAGGAAAATCGCATTTACATGGTGATAGCCATGTAAAGAATATCATATTGAGGAAGGAGCAAGCTTGCTGTTCTAGAGATTACACCACAGAACAGTGGATTCAAATATCAGGAAAAAGATATTCCCACCTAAACATTGGGAAGAACTTTCTGACAGTAAGAGCTATTTGACAGTGGAATATTCTGCCTTGGGGTATGGTGGAATCTCCTTCTCTGGGAGTTTGTAAACAAAGGCTTGGATGGCCATCGGTCAGGAGGGCTTTGCTTGTATTTCTCTGCAAACTGGGATTGGGCTGGATGGCCAACTTTCAGTTCTGTGATTCTGTGCCCTCACAAGCTTACATTTCTTCATCCACAAGTCATGAGCATTTAGACTAAGCTTTTGGAAACAAGACACCTGACTTTACCTCATCATATTACTGAGTAAAGAGCCATGTATAGTGACTGTGATAGCAGATGTAAAGTGTTGTATAGTAGATGTAATATGTTGTAGTGACTGACTAGAATTAGGGGGTTTAATTTCAAATCACTTTTTATTTATGAAGCATTGAATGCGAGCCATACTGATTCTGTGGACTACAGTAACAACAAAAGGGACACAGGGGAAGCCAGATATGCTGCCTTCATTCCTTTGAAGGAATACATACCATACATATATATTTAATAAATAACTACGTACGCCTCTGGAATAAATATAGAGTACATTTCAAATCTGTAAAAAATATGTTTTCATGAACATGAGGGAATGACATTGTCTGAAAGAGACTGGACATTACCCTGAGCTGCAGGGTAATATTCAGTTGAGGTGTAAGGTCTAGAAGAACTGTTTTGAAGATGTAGGAAGAGAACTAAGGAAATACAGAGCAGAGGAAGAGATCAGGCTTGGCAATTTAGTTGTGTACATTTACTTAGTAATTATCTATAGCTGAATCCCTACAACATCCCTATGATTTTTAGTTAACAAAAATAATCCCTTTTCCTTCCTTCTTTTTTTCTTTGAAACAGTCCCTGTGTTGGGAGAAAAATTCTGCAATTGCTGAAAGGCTAATCACAGCATATGAAAGCTTCTCTGAATTGACAATCTTGTCTCTATTGTGCTTTTAACATGACTTCAGTGCTATATTCGTGCTCGTAAAACAAAGCTTTTGGCTTACTTAATAAGAAAAAGTGCTATTACTGAATATTTCTGTAAGTCAGATATTTTAAAAATCAAGATAATGGAAACTGAGAATTCTTCAGTAAAAAAAGACAAATGAAACTAATACAGCAGATATTGTTAACTTTTTGCACTGAAGTTTTATTATCCTCCTTCACAGCTTTAAACTATCTATTTAGCTTTTTTTAAAGAAACTGATAGTTGAGAGGAAGTAATTTAAAAATCAACAAGGCACATAAAGGAAATAGAGTTGAACTGCATAACACAAATAATAAGATACTCATCTCAAAATTGCTGCCCAGTTAAAGTGGTTTATATTAAGTCAATAAAATAGAATGGATCATTTGAGTCGTAGACTATTGGAATAATGCAAATAACCTCTGGCTTCACAACATGTCACTGATGTGTCATTCATTTAATAATTGTTCAGAGGGCTGGCAAAGTATTTCAGTTCTATCTGTTTGAGAAGATAATCAGTGATCAATCAACAGAGCTCACTTTATTATTGATAGCTCCTGTACTACTTATTAAATTTCATAAATTGTATGCAAATTTACTAGCAATCATAATCCCAAACAAGCAAGCAGTTGCTTTTAAATTCATAACACTGCTATACCCATTCTATACTTTCCTATGCCTTGCTCATTCTTAGCTTTTCAAAACTATGTTCCAAGCAACTATGGGCATTCACACCCATTTCTTCAAGAAATCTGTTCAGTGGTAATTAGTCTCAGAGTAGCCTCAGAGACCATGTGTTAGGGAATCACCTCTCAGATAGCAATATGGCTAAGTCCATTCTGTGTTGAGTCCACACTTCCACTGGTTGGGAGTGAAGTCATCACAGAAACCTTCCGATGGAGCAGGGGATATGTGTAGCAAAGTTGTGTCCATTCGTGCAGTTGTTCAGGACAGACATTGACAGACATTTGGGAACAAGTGGCAGTCAAAATAAGGCAAGTTTGTAAAATTAAGAAAAACATAAAATTAATACAAATATAAATTAATAAATCCAGGGCTTGTGGATACAACAGACAACTATAAGATTCAGACTCTGCTACAATCGACTCCTTATGTCAGGAGCCAAAGAAGAGTTGAGATAGTACAGTTTTACTAATTAATATGAACTGATTCTGTGTTGTATGTACAAAATCCTAGGAAATGTACACTTTGCTAGCTTTTCATTGTAAAAAGAACATATCTTGCATTCATAATTTATTTATTTTGGTAAGTTTTTGCCTTTGGGACCTTTATATACAGTTATATGGTTACTTTCAGCAGATTTGTCCAAATGTGATTGTTTGGGAAAATCTTTACACAAAACAGTCATTGGATTCTTTGTGGTTTGTTACTGTTGCTGGAAATGATACAAAATGTGTGTTGTGACAATCAGTAGAGATTGTTCAAGGGATGTGCAAAGAAGATAGTAGCCACACCATTCCTTAGTGTCATTGGTTTTATTTAGTTATGTCGGTAGACAATTAAAGAATAAGCTTATATCCAGATCATCTGTGGAATAATTTGCTGTTATTTGGGGTAGGGAGTGGGGGGAGATAGTTCAAACAACAGAAAATTGTCTTCATGGTTTCTAGAAAGGTTAGCAATGGTGTTGTCTGGGTCATTCTAGTTGAATAATGCAAACTTCGTTTTGTTTGATACATTTTATAAGCACTACATATAATTTTGTGCATTATTCCCAAACTAATCCATACTATTGTGTTAGCACAGTTGAATTGCTTAGATTTCCTTTTCCGCAGTGGCAAAGGCAAAACTTTAGCACAGCACAGAATTGAATATTTCTGAAAATGGGAAATCAGAACAAAGAATACGTTATTCAGTAGTGTTGGACTTGAAGCATAAGGCAGTATAACCCCCGGAAAAGGCCACTTGCAGGGTATCACTCAGCCAGGTAACCCCCAGCAACATACACCTATAAGATGGATTGCCATTCTGTTTGCAGGTCTCCTCTCTTCAAACAATCTATATGAGATGTCAAAACTAAAATATATATGCTCTGCATAAGTGTTCAAAGTACTGAAAATGTTTAATATTAGAAGAGTTATTCAGTCAAAAGATGCTTTCAGTTGAACCCACATTATCGCATTTTGGCAGAAGTTTTAAAAATTAAAACAATGCTTCAGAACACAACACTACATTAACCCTCTTTTTATTAGAAGCAAAATTATCATTTCTTAAGCATCTGTTTGATTTGATTGCATTTCTTAATAGGTGAGTTGATATGAGACTTTTTTCTAGAAAATGAAAGCAAAAAAATCACTAATGTGTCATCTTTTCTGCTTTTGTAGTTGACCTCCCACTGTACTTTCCTCGGGACCAGCCAACTTTAACATTTCAATCTGTCTATCACTTCACTAATAGCGGAGAGCTGTATTCACAGGCTCAGAAAAGCTATCCTTATAGTCCACGATGGGATGGCAATGAGATGGCTAAAAGAGCAAAGTAAGTTGTATTTCTTTCTCTGAAGTAGTTTCACAATATATTGTATGTGTAGTTGCATGCTGTTTTCTTCTGGCTACATACTTGTCAAAATTTGTAGGAAGTTATGGAGAATGAAGTTCATGGTTCAACTATGGTCTGTTAATCGACTTACCCTTCAACAAGATACACCCTTTTTGGCATGCTACGGGGAATGGGTCTGCAGTCATCACAAACAGATACAAATTGTATCTGCAGACATAAATTAAAGACCCAGTTCCCAGGGCAAGTGGCCTATTTGAGGAGCAACAATGAAGTGAAATTTATCTAAATTCAGAAAATGGTGCTAAAACACAGAAAAAGAAGACACAACAGAGAGTCCGGAAATGTGATCCAAAAAAATAATAATTCCAGTACTGGATCATAGGAAATGGCTAGTATGCCACCTGGGAAATTGTCTGTCAGTCTAATACAGTGTCTGTTACTCTAGGAACTGTTTTTTTCAATGAGACGTTGAGCTTATAGGTAATTATTGTGATGTATTAAAAAGTATCCAAATGGGTTAAAGTTGTTGGAAGTGCCCAAGACTAAAGATCCTGCAGCCTCTAGCATTCTTCCAATGACACCTTCACTTGCATGTAATTTCAGCTATTTCCTTATGTGCAACACTGTACCTTAGAATCATAGAGTTGGAAGAGATCTCATGGGCCATCCAGTCCAAACCCCTGCCAAGAAGGAGGAATATTGTATTCAAAGCACCCCTGACAGATGGCCATCCAAAAGCTTCCAAAGAAGGAGCCTCTCTCCAGGGCAGAGAGTTACACTGCTGAACGGCAGTGAAGTTCTTCCTGACTGAATGTTCAGATGGAATCTCCTTTCTTGTAGTTTGAAGCCATTGTTCCGCGTCCTTGTCTCCAGGGCAGCAGAAAACAAGCTTGCTCCCTCCTCCCTGTGACTTCCTTTCACATATTTATACATTGCTATCATGTCTCCTCTCAGCCTTCTCTTTTTATTGGCAGGCTCTCACTTTTCCTGTGCCTTCCTGCCAGGATCCCAACACCATTTCCTTTACTATTGAATTTCAGTGGCACAAGAGCATCAAAATCATTTTATTTTATTTTCAGTTCATAGTTGACATCTAGAAGCATGTACACCCCAGCTGCTTTGCTTACAATTACTGAGGTGACACTAACCCTAGTGATACCACTGGTGTATATGGAGGATCACTACTGGTTGGTTTGCAAAAGGGCTGAACAGTTAAAGATAGGAAGGTGTTAGATGGTGGCAGCAGGGAAGAAAGCTTATATTTCATTAACTTCCTGCATGCAGGCACATCCAGCCAACCAGCTTTTGTCTTGGCTCCTGTCATGCAGCCATGACAGTCTTCAAAGAAATTGTTGTTGTTGTTGTTGTTGTTTTCATTGTGTTGTCATTATTATTATTATTAATAATAATAATAATAATCTAAATGTTTATAAATTATACAGTAAAGATATTACATCAGAAGTGCATGCATTTACTTATTTCTCCCTCCTTTCCAAATTTGAAGTCCCTCATGAGAAACCTTGAATTAAATATTAGATACATTTTAGGGTTTTAAATCTTAACTTAAGTCTTGGGGGTCCATGGCAATAAAAGATATTTAAAGATATGTAAAGATAATTGTTTGAAGAGAGTCCTTGTTTTACAAAAACGTTAAGAAATATACCAGGTCATTCTCACTTCATTTTGAAACATGTGACCCATTCATTGTCATAAGAGAATATAAACCATAGTTCATTTAAGTATATGAGAACCTGTAAGCAGCCTTGGACATAGTACATATATACAATGCATCTTCAGTAATAGACAAAAGAAGTCATGAACCTGCATATGTTTCATTATTAGAAGTGACCAGTTTCTGGATGAGCTTGCCTGATTATTCTGCATTGCTTATTGTCTGTAAATTGAAAGAGTAATTTGAATTAGAATTTATTTTCTATGATTATATTATCTAGATTGCCACATTGATTAAAAATAACTTAGTAACCAAACATCGAATGTAGCTGAGAGTTGTACTTTAGAAGGAAAAATGAATGCCAAGTATTTTTTTTTCACATGGTAAACAATATACTGCAGTGGGAGTTTTTAAAGGATTTGTTCTTCATGGGAGTTGCTATGAGTTCAGACATGCTTGATTTTTTTTGTCTTGTTTAGTATGTTCTTATTATTTTGTCCTTCCAGGGTCCTGGGATGGAATGTTGTATGTATGTATGTTACCCAATAGATCAAGAGAAACGTTTATAAATCAATCTTATTTCTGTGCCTTCTCTCCCCCAGATAATATTGGAAAACACAGATAGGAGACTACAGTCACCAGAGATTATTGCAAGTTCTCATTGTAATATTTTTTTAAAACTAATTTAGCTATTATCGCACTAGTATCAGGCTTGGTAATACATAATTTATGTATCCATGTCTGCCATGAAAATACATAATAAACTATTTTCCCCTGACATGCTGGCATTCCTAGAGATCCCTGGTTCACTGTGACCAGTTTGATTGTTTTTTGTTTGTTTTTTTCATATTTCTTTATTTAGGATTGAACATGTGAAACATTACCCTGCGGTCTGGTAGCAAGTAGCAAGTTCTCAGACAGCAGTGTCTCTGCTTCAGGTTTCTCTGTATTAGAAAAGTGTTAATTATAAATGCAGTAAAGAAGGTTAATATTCATTTGACCACAGATGATGCTAGCCTAAAATTAGTATTTCCCCAGATCAAAGGAGATGCACTAAAATATTCTTAAAGGGTGTAACTATCCACTAAAAGCCCACCTTTTCCTCCTTCTATGCTCCTTCATGAGTCACAAGACACAGAGACACAAGCCCCAAACATAAGGTAGGTTGCCCTGTTGCTGCTGTATTCAGCTACAACGCAAGAGAAGGAAAAAGGAGAGGACAGCCACCTCACATTTCCAGGCTGCCTGAGCCCAGGAAGCATTGATGGCTATCATGGCACCAGCAGCCATTTCCACATAAGAAGCAGCTGCAAGTGTCTGGACTGGCATAACTCAGGAGAGAATCAGAATTTTACACCACTATTTGGGTTTTCCCTTGAATTATATTAACCTGGGGTACAGCTGTATCAGCCCAAAGGGGGCAGAGTTGGAGATGATGTGGCAAAATAGATTATTGGAATTAGTTGTGGACAACTTGACCAAAAATATCTGGAATAGGTTGTATCAGGATAGATCACATATTAGGATAAATAGGTTAAATATTGGACCAAAACATCCACTTTAGTGGGGTGATATTACTCATTTCTATATGGAAATGAAAACTTTTGTAATGAACATTGCAAGACTAAAAATAGCTAAAGCATTATTCTGTACAAACGTGGTTAAATAGAGTATGGTCCATTTCTCTCAGACAAAACTGGACTCTTTTGGATCAAGATATATTTCTGGGGATAATGATGGTGATGGTGATGATGATGATGATGATGATGATGATGATGATGATGATTTATATACTGTCCTATCTTCCCTGAAGGGACTCAGGGCAGTGAACAACAAAATCAGCAAACATTCAATGCCATACAACAAACATAACTATTGAGGATTATTATTAAGATACAGTATATACAGTATAAATATATGTAAATATTTAGAAGACGATTCATAGTTATGGTGATTGATAGGAATAAGGTTTATGAGTTCATGATTTGTGGAGGGTGGAAGGAATAGAAAAATAAAGAAATCAATTTATAATATCGGTATAGGAAGAAGGAATGGTATATATCATGATTAAAATTATTGTTAAAGAAAGGGGAAAGTATGAATGACCTGATGCAAAGAAAAGCAATAACAGGAAGAAAAGCAGTACATGTTTTTGTTCCTGCTGAAATATGCTTTTGGTCTGCTGTAATACCAAAATATACTAAATAAACTGGGAATGTAGTAAGGAGAAAATAGAGGGTAGTGTGGTCTTGAGGATGGGACACTGCACTAGAATAACGGTGCAGAACAAGAAAGGAGCAGCATAAGTGTGGAGGAATGCAGTAGAAGACAGTCACTTGGAATGTTTTTGTCCCAAAGTTTGCTTTGGCTTTAATGCCCTGTAAGAAAATAGAAGATTGGGTTAAGAGGACATTTGTGCCCATGGTTAGTCTTATTCTAACAGCACAAAGACTGCTTGTGCAGAAAAGGAAAATGCAAAGAGACAGCTGTAGGCCATCACACTGAAGCACACAGTTCATGGTGATCTGTGGTGGGCATAAAATACAGCTAATTATGGAAAACCAGTGCTCTTATTCCTGGTATAGATACAAAACAGACCTTGGATTTTGTTTCCATGGGAAAAATCTTGTGTTTGTCTCTTTTTAAGCAGGCATTCAGATCTGTGTAAACAGAACATGCAGCTCCTCGGCCTGCAATTTTATGTAGGAATATTGTAAATAAAGCTTGTTTGTTGTTTGGGCACATAATACTTAGCTGTTGGATGCATGCCGATTTAGTGTCTGTTCTCAGTTATGCTCTGCAATACCATAGGTTCCCATGAGGCTTCAGCAAATGCAGGAGAAGCCGTTTTCTAGCCATCTTCCCTAGGATTTGTTGTTCATATCAGCCCTATTGGAATTGAAAATGTACCACTCGTACATACTGTACAAAGCCAGGCAAAGACAGCAAAATTGCTTCACCATTTTGAGAATGTTAATCTTAACTTGGAGAGGAAAAACAGGTTTCCAGATCTTCTGAGTGCAAAAACAAACTTGAAACTGTGGGAAGAATATATTGTTTCATAGCCAGTTTCAGAGATCAGAAGGTACACAATTTTGGATCTTTTTTTCTGTATGCTCTCTCAGTAATTAAGAGAAACAAAAAATGTTGAACTAAAACGCAAAGAGACCTATCTCAGATAACTTCCATCGTGTGGCCTAATGTGTTGGTTCCTTCCCACAGGACTCAAAATGTCATGCCAGGGCACTATAGATGAAGGAATGGCACCCAACAAATGTACCCTGCATTGGCAATGCAGGGAACATGT